TGATTTATGTTCTTCTGGGGACATCTTGTACTCATTCTTTAATGCAGGTCAACTAGGTTTCGATTAGTGATTGTTCTATATCAGGTGCTATTTTATTGTCATGTTTTGATCCAAGGTAAATGAGGAAAATAATCAGGCACCGATCAAATGACATGACCATGCACACATACTACTAAGGGTGATACCATTAATAAATACTTTGATACCCTTTTCAATCATCGGTATGATAAGTAAAACTGCGATTAATCCAGCGCTAAAAATAGCAAATATCGTGAATTTATTTCACATTTTGTTCCAGATACTTTTTACTAAATGTTCCGTAGCATTTTCATTTAACAGATGACTAATAGTACAATTATTATCTTCCACAACATGGCCATATATTTTTCGTGTGATGACGGACGGTTGTTGGTCAAAGAATTCTGTTTAATAGTTCTTTAAGATCTTTTTTTGTATAAATTTCACCTGGTGGCAAGGATTGAAATATTGTTGTTTTTCCAAGTCATCCGTAAGAAAGGTTTCAGAGCTGTTGATGCTTTTGCCCGAACAGCTCGAGGTAAGAATTTATTTCCGACAGAAAGCTTGATGTCTACGGATAAACATTTAATAATATGTACTACTTTACCAGCAAATACAATTATATAACTTGGTCTCTTTATCAAATTGTTAGAAAATTGGTCAGTAGACAAGTTAGCATTAAGAGAATTCAATAAAATTTAACATTCTGGTTTACAATGGTGCATAACTATATCACGATATAAATTATTAATTTGCGTCTTTGAGTATAGTTCTACGGAAACAAAATTAGAATCGGGGTATGCAAATATATCTAGATTGGTAAGAGTTATTTCATTACTGTTGGCGAAATTCATATGTCGAATTGTGTCAAATACAAACAACTTAAGATGCCTAGTCCCTTACAGCTCATAAATATAAATGTATCGTATTCCTTCCGCTACTAAAGCAAAAGTGATATCTTCTGTAATATGAGAATAAACAACTTGACTATTTTTAACCTTAATTTCGTTAGTTATTCCTTCATATAGATTGCATTAAAAATTACATAGATTTTTATGTTATGTTGTAACAAAATAGCAACAATTTCAATCGACCAGAAAAATGATCTTTTAATTTCCCGGGTTTGGAACCATATCTTAACAATATAAAATCACAAAGTTTGAAATTTTCAGATTTATATGTCGATCATAATATTTTTTTGACTTTTCCTTTGAGGCAACAAAATTTCTCATAAGCAAATTTATAATTGGGAAGATTATTTCATTTACTTAACGGAATACTCGACAACTTCCAAATAAAATAAAGATCAAGAAAACATTGAATTTGGATTTAGAAGGTCGAGAGACATACGAGGTATGTTCAAAAAGTAAGGTGACTTTGTATTTTTATGAAAAAATATTTATTTATTTATCAATATTTATGTTGTCCCCTTCAAAGTAATCCCCCTCAGATACAATACACTTATGTCAACGGTTTTTCCAATCTTCAAAGCACTTTTCGGTATAGCTTTGAGCTCTTCCAGCGATGCAGTCTTTATCTCTTCAATCGTTGCAAATCTCCGTCCTTTAATAGGTCTGTTTAGTTTTGGGAACAAGAAAAAGTCACATGGGGCCAAATCCGGTGAATATGGTGGCTGAGGCATGATTGTGGTGTTATTTTTGGCCAAAAAATTTCTCACAAGCAAAGATGAGTGAGCAGAGGCATTATCGTGATTCAAAAGCCATGAATTGTTTTTCCACAATTCTGGGCGTTTTCTTCGTATTGCTTCTCGTAAACGGCGCATAACTTCAAGATAATACTGTTTATTGACCGTACGTCCATATGGTAAGAACTCCTGATGCACCACGCCATGGTAATCGAAGAAAACAGCGAGCAAAACTTTGACATTTGATCGAACTTGGCGTGCTTTTTTCGGTCTTGGCTCATCTGAGCTCTTCCATTGGGACGATTGGACTTTGGTTTCGATATCATAACCATATACCCATGATTCGTCACGAGTTATGACCCTTTTGAGTAAATCTGGGTCGTCGTTGACGTAATTCAACAGTTCTTGAGCGATGCTCATGCGACGGTTCTTTTGGTCAAAATTTAGCAATTTCGGAACAAACTTCGCTGACACACGTCTCATGCCCAAAACGTTAGAAAAAATTTCATGGCACGAGCCAAGCGATATACCGACATCCTCAGCAACTTCTCTGATAGTGATTCGACGATTTTCCAGAACAATTTTCTTCACTGCTTGAACGTTTTCATCAGTTGTTGACGTGCTTGACCGTCCAGAGCGAGGCTCGTCATTGGCATCTTCCCGGCTATCTTGGAAGAGTTTGTACCACTTGTAAACATTTTTTTTTACTCAGAACAGTTTCACCGTATGCCACCGTCAACATTTCAAGTGTTTCGGAGCACTTTATATTATTTTTTACACAAAATTTGATGCAAATCCTTTGATCTATATTTTTCGATAGCAAGAAATCGCCGAGCACACAAAACACTTATAACCTTTACGCCTCTCACAACCAAACAAAAAATGCTATACACTTGAAACTTGGTACAGATGTTTGGGAAGAGTGTACCAACATAACAAAACAAAGAATCGATAATCGAAAGTACGTTGCCCGTGAAATTTGAAAAGTCACCTTGCTTTTTGAATACACCTCGTAAGTAGATGTGAAAAGTTAGAAATCTATTTTATTAGAATTACAACTATAGCTTTACAGATCAGGGAACACTTTAATCTTAATATGCTTTGTAGATTAAGAAAACAACACTTACTGATACTTATTTTGATGTAAAATTTCCTGCTTTTCCCAAATCCGTGGTAAAAAATAAAGTTCCTCTGCAAATAAACCATTTGATCTTCATTTAATCTTAACCCTGAGAAGATAGGATCGAATGGACATCGAAATCAATTTCAGCGATCTTAAAAATATGTAAATATAGTTATATGAAAACTTATTTTCGCAATCTTACCTTCAATTGACCTTGACTCTGACGAGATAGTAACAAACGGTCAGCAGATTTATATTCAGCGACCACAAAAACATAAATACGAGGAGTGTTCAAAAAGTAAGGTAACTTTTCAATTTTCGCGGGCTACGTACATTCAAGTTTGAAATTTTTGATGTTGCTGTATTGGTATACTCACCACGATCATATATTTATAGTTTTGACTATATAGCACATGTTATTTTTCTGGCAGAGGCGTTAGAAGTTAGAAGTGTTTGGTTACCTTACTTTTTGAACACCCCTTGTACATACTGTTTCCTTCCCGGGAAAAAAAACTCACTTTTTTATTTTGTGGGCCTGTATTATCATAGGTTGTTAATTTGTAACCGAGTAAGTTTTTTTTTCAAATTGATATTCAAAAAATTGTTGAATACGCCTTTTAATATAAATCTTTTTTACTTTTTTCCAATAATATTCCCTTCTAAAACTATGAGAGGTTTTAAAAACACTACGATGGCCGCCTACGAGTGATTTATGCAATTCATAAAATTTTTCATCACGTTTTTCCTTTGGAACGTACTTAATTATATCCATAATATCCAAATATCTAAAAAATTCAAATATTCTGACCATTCCAATTATAAAGCAATTAAAAGAAAGGCAGTTGTACAAAAGAATTCAATAGCAAGTGTAGGAAATATGAGAAGAACGGGTTTGCCATTATGTATGCGAATTACATGATGAAAATTTTACAGATATAAGTCAAAGTACAATTACGGGCTGACTGAGCGAAGTGGGACTTTTTAGACACATTGGTGTGAAAACCATTTATTAGTAAGAAAAATAAGGTCATATTATAATTTGTAAAAGCACATCAAAGCTGGATTGTTGACAACTGGAAGAATGTGCTGTTTTCGAACGAAACTGAAATTGATTTGTTTGGAAATGATGTTAGAAAATATGCACAGTGACTACAAGGTAGTAGTTGTGATTTCCAACATCAAATACCTACTGTAAACATTGTAGAGATAACATCATGCTATGGAGTGCATTTTCTTGAAGAGGTGTAGGTCCAATATTTAAAGTAGAAAGCACTATGGACTTTGCCGTATACAAGGATATTATATTTACATATTATATTAGCAGCAAATGTTATCTTATGCAGTCGTAACATGCCAAGAGGATGGATATTCCAGCCAGATAATGATCCGAAACATCGATTACAGCTCCTTATAGCAAGTCTTTATCAAGAACAAAATTCAAGTTTTAAAATGGCCAAGTCAGTCTCCGGACTTGAATCTTATAAAATATTAATTACAAGAGTTGACATTGGGATTAGGGATTAACACAGTTGTTTTCAGTTGTTTTTTCTCTCAACTTAGTATATTTTTCCTATATATAAGTGCCGAATCCGTTTGACTGTATATTTATGAAATATTATTTTTTACTATTTACGAAATATTAAAATTATTTTCGGATTAAAATTTTAATCAAATTAAAATAAATGTTTGAATCGCATGGTTTAATAGTATAATAAAAGTACTTTAAGAAGGTATATTTGTGTTTCCACTTCGCATTCTTTATGCATTTTTAAAACACAATTATATTTTGCCGGACACTTTTGCACTAAACTGTTGGTTCTCGTCCTTAATTACGTCCAATAGAATTTATGATACATTTATACTTATTTTATCTGATTCTCCACCCGTTCGTTAAAATACATTATTTCTACGAGTGGAATGTAGATTTTTTCAAAGTTCTGAGTATAAATTCTTCAGTTATTTATTATAGAAAAAAATATTTACGGTGAGGGACTGGAATCTAAGTAAAGACACTAATTAATGTAGCGTTCTTACTAGGCTTTTGTCATTGATGATATGTTAAATTATAATACTAATTATCATATTTTTACGTTAGTAATTATTTTACTTATCAGAAAAATGTATCACTAGTCATAGCTAGATTTAAAAAATGATAATTACACTAATTCATCAAAGTAAAGGTAATCATTCTCATAGAAATAATTTATACTTCAGGACCTGAATTTCATGTACCTGGACAGAGCTTTGGTGCCCAACCAGGAGGGCAAGTGGGTGGGGGAGCCGGCTCTCTTGCTATTCCAGGCGGGAGAGCATCCGCTTTAGGAACAATTCAATCGCTTGGACAGTCGTCATCAATTTTATCTTCTTCAGTACCATCAAGTGGGCAACCTCCAATAGCTCCAGGTTCTAGTATTAAACCACAAATTTCTCAAATTTCATCTATTGCAACAACTACGGGACATACTTCAGTATCACAGGAAATGGGAAAACAAACTCATATTCAAACTCAACCTACATCAATGTACGTTCAAAATCAGAGTAGATCGGCAAATCAGGTAATATATATATTCGACAGTACTACATATTCAAAAAAATTTTAATTTTTTTTTCCAGAACATAATAAATAATCTCCATAACTTCCATATATATGATAATTTCCAAAACATTCTTATAAGTTTATTTAAACCATTTTTTTGAAAGGTTGTTGCTTAATTATGTAAGTTAATAAAAGGTTAGGTTAAAGTCACCCAGTAGAAGAGACAGTGAAATCAACAGAATATGTATATATACTCTGCTGATTTCTGCTGTCTCTTCTACCGTTCTGTTGATATCTGCTGCCTCTTCTACCACTTCTAATCGTTCGTCATATTAGTTATCATAATTCAGCATGATCTTTTAAAACAAAGTTTACGAAATACCATTTACTTTTTTCTATAAATTGAAGATTTATAGAAATTTCGATGTGAAGACCTCAAATAGACATTTCAGTATTTACAAGAAATTATAAAGAATAATCCTTTTTGACAAAATGAAACATTTTCTGGAATTTTATACCCTTCTTTTTTTATTCATTTTTTTCAACTCTCTATAGCTCATCTTACAATAATGTTTTAATTTTTTTGCAGCTATCTATTATTTTCTAACACGTTCAGGAACGACACGATAGATTTATGATCATTCTTCACTGAGCTGTGGTGTTCATTACTTTGGAGACTACTTCCTTTAGTGTTAACATCTGTTAATCTGGAAAGTCCAAGGTCTCTCCTTTTTAACTTCTCTATCGTCGATATTTTGTCTTAAAGAATTTCCAGGGATGGATTCATCTGCATTTTAGCATTTTATTTGTAGACGCTTTTGACGGTATTTTCTATTGACTTCATCTTTTATTTGTTTTGATACATTAGAAACTCTTATGGCATTTATAAATGTTAACACGGGTAAGTGATCTACTGCATTGACTTCTCACAGAATTCATGAAGCTAACGATAACCGTCCGAGCTCACACTAGATCATAATTAATCATTTATGTATATTTCCAACATTGCCAGTACCCATTTGGGGTAGTTCTTCATTTTCGTTATACATATTCTATCTTTTAACGAGGTTGATATTTATCTTCTTTTCCTACCTCTTGAGTAGTAGGACACCGGATTTGTAACCGCAATAACAGAGTTTGTGCATGTGTGTATATGCGCCTGTGTGTATGTGTGTTTCCATTTTTTGTTAAAACGGACGTCATCCACGTCGTCAATGATGCTCAGTTAAGTGAGTGGTCTGTGCAATACCAAAAATTCATTTCCTTTTCAGTAATATTATGGTGGAGCCTATTTTTATCAAGAAATGATCCCTAGATGATTGCTGCATACATTGTACATACTTTCCTGATCTCTCATGTAGGGATTAAGGTATTAATTTTTTCAAGGGCACTTTTTTCTGCTGCACTTATTCCGAACCCGAAAATGTATATAAAGGTTTTCGGGGTCGCTGATTACGAATCTGGAGTCCAATTTTCAAAATTAAAAATGGCGGATTCGTAATGAGCAAGCGTATAAACACCCTTATACCATCTTTTAAATGAAATACTCAGAAAACCGCATTGGATTGGATTTTTCAAATTCTGATACCGGATTCGTGATCAACGCCTTCAAAAGCCCTTTTATACAAATTTTCATATAATTATCTTGAAAAGTCTATCCAAGACCGAATTTATTTCTTTTCATGGGGTTATTTGAAAAGTGTTGTTTATGCACAGCACGGCAAGATATGATGCAACGCATCGTACAAGCTTGTTGAGCTATTCCGCGTCACGTTTTGTTGTTCACAGTTGAAAACTTCGAATGTAGAATTCTACACTGCATAAATTTGAACGGCGGTATTTTTTAACATTTTATGAGATAAATGTTTGTGTTACAACCTTGACCATAACTCTATCTGTAGACATCGTCTTGTCTTCATTGGTTGGGCATACCCACCTTGCCTTAATTGGCTGGCTAATCAATACCTCGCTTTCATTGACCGGGGTGGGAACCTTGCCTTCATTGGGTGGGTAGCCAACATCTTGTCTTGATCGGCTCAGCATTCTCACCTTGCCTAGATAGACTGGATACTCCCTCTTTGCTTACATTGGTTCACGTTACTAAATGTGGCATGCACACACGTAATGATTAAATCAAAAACGACCTTGATAATCGAACTCCACCATTCAGGTTCACGCTGCATTAGAGCCACGATATTATCGGGAGTGATGCTGCCGACCGTTTCTTCCAGTTCCTGTCTGGGTCTTGTCCAGCGGTCACACACGAAAAACGTGTTCCGCGTCGTCTCATTCGTGTCCACAGTACTTATAGTATCGTCGAAAGTACCCGTGGCCCGTCAAGAGCTGGGTGACGTAGAAATTTACATCACCAAATTTCCTTCCAAGCCACAGCCTCAAGTCCCGTATCAATCATCTCGTCCAGTTACCACCTCGTTCCTCTGTTCATCGGCCTTGCCAAATGTCGATTGTCCTGTCACGCTTAGCGATTGCCGCGTTCTTTCGTCCTATGTCCGCGCTGCTCCTGTAGATCTTTTTGCGTTCAAAGGCCAGAAGATCTATGGGTATTACGCCAGCCACCACCAAAACAGCCTGCGTAGAGACTGTTCGGTAGGAGCAAGCGATTCGCAGTGCGCCCTGTCTCTGTACCATCATCATCGACTTACAGTATTTCTTTGCCTTCAGGGAGTCTGCCCATATTTCCGCGCCGTATAGAAGAATAGAGTGAGCTGTCGCCATTAACAGTCGTCGTTTTCCCGATCTCGGTCCCGTCGTATTTGCCATCAGGCGACTCAAGGATGCTATCCTCTCTGCCGCTTTCCGGGTTGTTTTCTGTATATGAGGTCAGAAGGTCATCTTCGTATCGAGGGTTAGCCCAAGGTACTTGACTTCCCTCTTGGTCTCCATTTCGCATGTCGCCACCCTCATGCGCAGTATCGTCTGTATGCGTCTTCTCGTGAGAAACATCAGTTCCGTTTTTTCCGTTGCGAGTTGTAGTCCGTGGTCTCTCGTCTTATGGTCTGGTTCAACGCCAGCTGCGCCAGCTCGGGGAACCTCTCCATAACCACCGCCGCCACGTCATCAACGTAGGCGACGAGGGTCACTCCGAGCGGCATCCCAAGCCGAAGCAAGCTATCGTATAAGTCATTCCAGAAGTCAGGTCTCAGTATCGACCCCTGTGCCACCCCAGCGGTAACCTGTCTCGTTACTCGTCCCTCAATCGTCTCGTACGTTATCCGTCTGTTTGTTAGGTAATCCTCCACAACTCGAAGCAGGTATGGTTGGATCCCGATGTTGCTTTTCAGCGCCTCCAAGATGTCTTTCCAACTAGCCGAATTGAAAGCATTCCTAATGTCGAGCGTCGCCAGCAACACTATAGGTCGCGCTGCGTGGCAATGTCTGTCTAGTTCCAGGAAAGAGTCGACCACCTTTTGGATCGCTCCAGTCGTCGATCGACCCCTCCTGAAACCGAACTACAAATCTGATAAACCTCCTCCGGTCTATATCGCATCCATTAGTCTCGGTCTCAGTAGTTGTTCAAAGAGTTTACCAGTCGTGTCAAGTAAACTCAACGGTCGGTAAGCCGAAGGCGTGCCAGGATCGCTCCTACCTTTTGGGATAAGAACGAGCCTTGCCACGTTCCACCGGTCGCTGAACGTTCCTGTCGTCAAACACGTGTTGTACAGGTCGAGGAGTATCTCCGGCCGTAGACGAGCCACAAGCTGGAGGATCTCGGATGGTACTCCGTCCGGTCCCGGTGCCTTACCCGTCTTCATCGCATTCGTTGCTCTGATGAGCTCCTCAGCGGAAAAGATGGAGGGCATTTGTGCGTCCACGTCATCCATCACGTTTGTCCTAATCGGGTGCGTCGGAAACAATCCGTCAACAATCCATCCTGCTGTTTCGGCATCTTTAAGTTCCGGTGAGACTCGGGCCCCTAGTTTCCCGGTCACGATCTTGTAGCCGGTTCCCCAGGGATCCTCGTTCACCTCCTCGCAGAGCTTCCTCCAGCATCGCGTCTTGCTGTCCCGTATTGCTTTCGTCAGCGTCTTCCGTGCTGTTTTGTATATGGCTTGGAGGTTTTCCCTTTCGGGTCCGCCCCCTGCCCTTGTCACTCGTCGCCGATTTGTCAGGCATATCCTGCGTAACTCGGCTATTTCGTTCATCCACTAATATTGTGGTTGTCTTTGTTGTATCTGTCGACGTTTCGGCATTGTGCCTCTGCACAAGCTGTCTATTAATTTGGCCGTCTCGTCTGTCAGTCTTTCCGCTCTTTGCCGGCCCATCAGTTCCGCGGGAATTCTCTCCCCTGGAGCCGGTGCTGCCATTAGCTCTTCCGAAAATTTTCGTCCGTCGAGTTTCCGTAGATTCCACCGCGGGGGTTGATAGGTTCTTGTTCGTCTCGTTCCCGTCCGTCTCACCACTTCAAAGGCGATGTACTGGTGATCCCTGGCTGTGTAGTCTTCGATCACCCGCCATCCCCTCAGCCGTGGCAGAATTCTGTCCGATGTCATCGTGACGTCGGGGATAGAGTCATCGACACCTGGCCGTCTATACGTCGGCGTATGTCCCGTATTTACCACTGCTAGATCAAGCCTTGCGGCCATTTCCAGCAGTAGTCGTCTGCGTCGATTCGTTTCGTTCATTCCCTACTCGGTCGCCCTCGCGTTAAAATCCCCCGCAACAATGACATCCCCGGGCAGGTCCCTGATCCCGTCTTCTAGGAGTGCCACCTTTCTTTCGAACTCCATGGCGGTGCAGTTGGGTGTCAGGTAGACGCTGAGATAAGTAACAACGCCAACTGTGACCCAGACGTTTTCGTCCCCGACACCGCGATTGGAGACTCTAGATTGGGTGCCACCCCGTACCCAGATAGCAGTGCTCTCTGTCTTGTTTGTAATGTATGTCTGGGTCGTCCTTCTCCTGTATGGTTCACTCAGAATCAGGATGTCCGCGTCATATTCGTCGGCTATCTAAGGTAGGAGCATGTCTGCAGTCCTACTTCGATTCAGGTTTCCCTGA